TCGTTGTTGGCTCACTACAGTCGACACCTGGAAAGTGACGACAAATTTAAAATTGCAAAACGCTAAAATCGTTGATGTGCACAAAGTTGATTTGAGGTGGTACTCTAAGCAGGAACTACGTATTGCGAAGAAAATAAACAACTGAACACATCCCAAGCCGTCAGAGACCTGAATTTCGCTTAAACGAGATTGAGAAGAACCGCGAGATTTAATGGCAAACTAAAGGTGGTAGTGGATGTGAGCAATTCAAATTTGTAGCGCGGAATAGAGATGGAATCGAGCAGATCACCTTGATAGAGTGGATCACATAAGCATTCGTTGAGTGATACACATTGACCATGTGCACTACAGTTTGATAGAAGTTCACACGACGGCGTCGAACAGTCATCTCCATACCATCCTTCATAGCACTTACAGTGGTTCGGCGCCACGCAATTTCCATTGGTTGAGCAATCGTTCAGCGATGAACAATCATTCAATTTCTCCGAACAATTCGCTCCACCAAAACCTTGGTCACATTCGCATTCGTTCGGTTCTACGGAATTTCGAATGATATAGCAAAGTAACGAGGCAACAATCAAAAGTCAGCCGGTTTAACAAATATCACCAATAAAACCATCAAGGTCTAATTGATTGAGTACTTCGAAGACCAAAGACTTTAAAAGATTCGATTGAACCATCACAACGCAAGCAACTCTTCCCCATCATTATTTCTTTCAAGTGCTCATCTACGTTAATAATCTCTTTTTGCAAGAATGGACCATGCTGAATGTTAACTGATAGAAACGATATCAGAAGGAGTATTTCTAAGTTCATTACAATCAGGTGCTAAATCGCAAGTGCTTTGAAACGGAATGATCAATGAGTGCTTTCGATGAAAATCTTCTCACCGATACAATGCGCATTCATCGTGCAATTTGTCGTCACTTCACAATCATCTGGTGCTGGTGCTGGAGAACGTTTTCTGCCGATTGGATCAATATAAGCAATTCCTGAAAACTTATTCGAAGATCATATCCTTGGAATATCAACTCCATTCAAACCTTTTCTGGTTCAATGCATATATGAGTATTTTGGGTGGGAACAAGACACAAAGTTGTCCTAGCGAGAAGAAAACTATCGGAACTGCAGAAATTTTTTTTAATGATTTGCTCCTTTGATTCTTCCTCGATGTAAGGAGACCCCAAGCAACATATAAAGACTGTTCATGTACCCCTGGAATGATCGATTCTTCCATCGAGGATCCTCTTTTCGATAGATTCGCTATTCTCTTGATCGCCCCAATAGTTATTCGTAGCGTCCAGTGCCTGAAAAATGAGCTGCAGGGGATATATTTTGATGCTTTTGATTGCAAGACATCAACTACTTTTATTTGAGCGATTGGAAGACTGAAACAGTGGTAATGTGCGGAGACAGTGTAGGTTGTAAGGAAATAATGCAATATTAATGAAAATGGAGTAAATATTAAAAGACAACAATTACAGAGTAAAGACAGTCAATGAATTCATAAGTGGGTAGC